CTCGCGACATTCGCTCCGGCCAGCGGCGACTTGGCGAGCGACGCTTGCGACATCGGGGAGAAACCAAGCAATTCTTCGGCTTGTTGGTGAATTATTTGGCTTTTTGAGGATTTTTTGGGGGAATTCGTTGGCTTTTCGGGGGAGTTTGTGTGAGTCATAATCAAAACCCGGTATTCAAATGGTCGTAATCCCCAGAACCATGCTTCAAGAATGAAGAAGGCGGATATCCGCAGCCATTTATGGCAAGGGGATTATCCCCTCCTCATCTACCCGTGTTTTGATTCTTTGATTGTGGCTAAGGAGAAAGCATGACTTCTTCAGCAAATGGAAGATGATAGATTCCCTTTAAAACCAACCGGGGGAAAAAAAAAAAAGAGAAGAACAAAAAAAAAAAACATTTCACCAAACGGAAGGCTTCCGAAAATGTTGCCCTCGCCTTCTCAAGGCCCAAGTCGTTCTCAGAGAAGGCGTCGGACTTCTCGACCTGAAGGCGGTCGGCTGCTCGGCGCGGCTCGGAGCTCTTCGCGTGGACCTTTTCCGGCTTAACTTGGTTGCTGCAACGACCCCCCTCCAAAAAGTGAATCACTTTTTTTGGGGGGGTTTAGTGGAAAACCCAACTTGATTTCAACCAAAAATATTTTTGTCGAAAGATCCAAGCCAATAGCAGTCAAGGCTTTATGGTGTCAAAAGGAAGCCAAAGCAAACCCCCTTGCGGCCATTTGTGGGGGCCCTAAAAAAGACAAACTAGGGGTCCTATGGTTTTCCCTGGATCAAAGTGATCCCGCAAGTGGTGCTTAAAGGAGAACTGCCAAACAATGGGCCCAGACCTTAGCCCCAGCTTGTTTTGTTGTTTTCTTGTTTTTTTTGTTTATTTTTTTTTCTTGGGGGAGGTGTCACAGAGGAGGTAACCAAGGGAACCACACAAACCACCCTTGAAAGGCCAAAGGACAATTTGCTGGTTTCAAGACGTATTAACACGGAACCCTCCGGAGTCAGACAGCAGACATAGCCCAGACCTTCGCCTTCACTCAGGAAAAGCTCACATGAGGTTGTCTCTCCATATACGGAGCCACTCAAAACCAGGACATGTTCATATTTGGCTTCGCCTCGGAACCCATCAACATGAAAAGGGTTTTCAATGCCAACGGAAGAAGCCAGGTCCAGATGGTAAAAAAAGCGAACTGGATTTGATGATGCCATAGATGCACCTTCCTGCTTCCAAAGACAAAGATCAGCGTCCGAGTCTTGCTCAATGGTCTTAAACGGAGCCAACCCACCATGCACAGCAAAAGGGCAGCCGCTCCCATTTCTGGTTGGGACTGTCCCTTCCTTTCACTAGCAGAGTTGAGCGAAACCAAGCCAAACCCGGAGGACAACAAATAAAGGGCAGGGATGGTAGTCTGACCGCCGAAACCCGATACTCGGTAAGGGCGTGACAGGGGCACCAATTCATGGGTTGGAGGTTGTTCGTCAGGCCACCCTCCTTGATTACCAAAGGAAAACTGCCTGTTGGATAGGGTCCTCTGAAGCAAAGGTTTGTCTGTCGCCCAATGAGGTATGAGGCCGGGCTTCTCTTTGACTTCCCTTCATGCAAAGTTTGCAGTTCAATCCAACGACTCATAGTTTATTCTCATCAAAGCATGACCAAACTTAGGTTTGAAAAAAGTACCTCACAACCTGGTCGCCAGTGACAGTACCCTGAACTGCTCTGCGACCCTGGAGATCCGTTTTGAAGTTGACCATTTTTGATGGCGAACCAACGACGAATCGATTCAACTCGTATGGGCGCGCCTTCTAAAGCTACCCTTGGGGCTGTGCTCAGAAGAAACCAAAGAAAAAGCGAAGGGAAACCACGAATTCTTGAGGGGGTCCCTCAAAAACGACCAAACCCAGATCAAACAAACATGCGTTCTGGTCTTCTCACATTACCAAAATAACATGTTTCTCTTTTTCAGACTCTCTTTTTTTTCCTCCAACTCTCCAGATGACCTCCGGAGCCATCGCATCTTCTGCCGCGGAACCCTGCGCAAGGAGGGGCTGAACGGCTCGTTCGCCAGCTTCACCTCCTGCTTGCACCGACAGGGGTTTCAAGATTCGCCAAGTTGTCTGGAAGAGCGAGAAAACAGCCTAGTGATTTGTGGGTGTTTCGCGGATCCGTGTGAAACGCGGGGGAATTTCAAGAAAATGTGCCGCTTGACAGATGTCCAGGACTGCCGCCGTAAGCCAAATACCATGCGTGTCAGCTCGCTGCCCTCGTGTCGTTGCAATGGGAACAACAGGGCATGTGCATAAACACATGGGCAAGCATGCATATAATGCAATCGTGTATATATGGTCCAGTGGTTGGGTGGTTGGGGTGTGGTTTGGGTTGGTTTAGGGTTGGTTTAGGGTTGGTTTAGGGTTGGTTTAGGGTTGGTTTCGGGCTGGCTTGACTGCCGAGGCACTTCAGAACTCCGTTTCCCGCCAGGCGAGTCATATTGGACAAGGGTCAGCCCCGATGGACAAAACCCTCGCAGCCCGACACATACCGGGAGAAACCACTTCAAGCCCAACTGTTGCAGGAGCCGAAACTGCGAAATGCGAGCTCAAAGAAGCGAAGCCGCTCCAAGGCTCATTTGACCGCGGAAAGTTGGCACGACATCTCAAATTTGACGCAGACAAAGACTGGCACTGCATGCCAAAACCAGGTGCTAGGTGGCCTTCTGTGCTGTCCTTTACAATTCATCCTATAATCTTTGCTGGACCATGGAACGACAGGGTTCGCTACATTCATTAAGGACTTCAAAATGATGCTTGTTCTTCAACCCCCAATTACCAGCCTCAAAAACGTCCCCCCAAAAAGAAAGTCCCAGGTCAAACAAGTGGTCACACGGCTCCTCCACCAGCCGCCCCAGGCGTTCAGGCCGCAGCTGCTGCGGGGTATGCCGAACCTCGCCGCAGGACAACGCACTGGAGGACTCGTAACTCAGATGGCCAGCGGCCATGGGAAGAAAAGGGCATCCTTCTTTGGTTGGTTGACTTTAAAGGGGAATCCTTCCCACAGGGCAACTGGGGGAAGCAACCAACTTGTTGAACAAACTGCTCGATGGGAGCGCTTGACGAAGAGTTTGCGGCTTCCTATTTGATGGGCACGACAGCCAGGAGTTTACTAACCAAGAGATCAATCAGGGCTCGATACAAAACATGACCCAAAAAATGTCAACCGGCCCCATTTTTCTGGCTATGAAGATTGGTGACTCGAGGTTGATCCATCGGGTGCTGTTCCCTTTGTCCCGAGAAAAATGGAGAAAAAATCGCTGGAGCAAAAGAGAAGTGGCTCAACCCCCTCAAAAACAACCCCTCCAGCCCCCGAAACTGCCCCGAACCCTAGCCTTTGCCATTGTGAAACCTCTTACAGCCTCCTCCCCCAGCTTGATACGCTCACCGCTCGAGCGCAGCCCCCGTCAAATGGAGATCAGTGCACCCTGTCCACAAATAGGGTGCTGCGTAGGACGGCTTCTCATATCTTCCATTTGGTTAAGACCCCTGGACAAAAATAAAGATATCCAGTAGTGATAGCTTCCCTTTCAAACCAACAGGGGGAAAGAAAAAGAAACTCATTTCAGCAAGTGGAAGATTTTTGTTGGAAACCAACAGCCCAGAACAGCAGTTTTTGGCCATTTTGGGAAAGCTCCGAGGGGCTCCTCACACTCCCCCAAAAGCTGGCTGGTTTCGGAGGAACGTGACCTCACCGGTTCAAAAGGGGGGCACCAAGGCAAAAACGGGGCAACAGTGGGGGGATCCGGTTCTCACTTTCGGGGCCGGTAGAAAGCGGAAAACTCCTGGGTGTCTTTTGGGCCTCCCGTGAAGCCCATCCACAAGGGGGATGGGGGCCTAAATTATGCCGGGGCGAGTGGGGGGGAACCAAGGGGAGTATTGGACCAAAAGACCAAAGTCCCTGTGTAGTTGCGCCCTTGAAACCAGACACAAAGGTCAAGACCGTACACCAAAAAGGGTCCGCTGTTTCTCATCTTCCCCGACTTCCAGTCATTTGGCCTTGCGGAAGATCCTGCACCTTTGCACTGAAAAGGTGGGCTCGTCTTTGGGGGGAACGCCCCCCCTTCTCTTGAGAGCTGGTCTTGAAAAACTACAAGGACACCCGTTGCGCCATTTGGCGGGGGGGTTGGGGGAAGCACCAAAAAAAAACCGACACACCAGCTGCAAACCAGGGAGAACTCTTCGCGAAGTGCCACCAGGTCGCCCAAGTATCCACCTGCCGTCGCACGCGCTCGCGCTGAACCAGGTCCTGGTGAGGCGGGCTTCGGCTCAGCCATACTCTGCAATTGAACATGTGTGTGTGTGTGTGTGTGTGTTCTTTCAACCTTGTCACAACAGGTGTTGGGGGGGGCCTTGTCTTGTTTGTGGCTATTGAACGGAATCCAAAGGAACATCACCATTTCGGTGGTCTACACCTTCTCATATATTCCCAAGATGGAAACCACAGAGGTAGTGTTAGGATGGGAATCGGAATCAATCGTTTTGGGGGGCCCAGCTGGCAAAATCTCTGTTGGCGTCCTGCTTCCAGAGCAGGAAACCCGCTAAAGGGCCCCGAGTGACTAAAAGGCACCTAGTCTTAGCACATGCTGCTTCCCAACGATGAGGAAACGCCGCCCGGAACAACCGCCGGCACGCCACGGAAAAACAAAAAAAATGATATAGGCGTCTCCTCCCTTGCACAGCGTTTACACATCGCTTGGCTCCGCTTTTGGCTGCCCAGGGGATCCTGATGAGACCCCCCCACACATTGGTGTGCACCACGAAAGCAAAACACCACTCAATTCTTGCCGGACCCGCGAGATGGGGTGTGGACCTGGACACTTCTAGGTTCAAATACGGTGTCTTCCATGTGGCTGTGGTGGTCAAAACCGTTATGGGATCCCATTTTGGGGACCCATTTTAGAACCTAATTTAGTGGGGATTGGGATGTTCACTGGGGCTACGAGCTTTTGACCCATTGTCATGCAATCTACAGGGTTGCTCCGTCCGCAGCAGAGCGCGATCCGATCCCATCGCTCGTTCCGAATGAACAAAAATGCCACCTTTCACGAGGTGAGAGAGAGAGAGAGAGAGACAGAGAGAGAGAGAATCCCCAAATTTGCTCCAAGGACTGAGCAAACAATTGGCCTCTCTGAATGGCTAACAGCATAGCAACCCTTAAAGGACATACAAAAACACTGCAGGTGCCGTTCCATGAGCCCAAATCCAAAAGCCCAAGACAACGTGGACATGGGACATAGACGTGTGTCCCCAAATAGACTCACAAACCGGAAAGCTTGACACAAAATTTGGTGGCGTCTAATTCACTTCAAGCACAGCCAAAATGAGGTTATCTAGTGAGTTTGGCGGTTCAAACATGTCTCTTGGCACGCAGGGGTACTCCAAACATGATATGTCCAGAGTCTGCTTTGTTCAGTCTACCCAAACATGTGAAATAGTCTTGGAGGAGACCCCAGGTTTAACACCTGAATCGCACCGTGGTGAGTGTGTCTTTTTGTTCATACCCCTGCCAGGTTCGTTGAAAAGGGAAACCAAAAGGGAAGCACCCTACAGTGGATGGACGCAATCCTGTACTTTGAAACCAAGGTGGAAATCATGTTTGTTGGTATTTGCAGGGGAATCACATCAGATCGCATCCGAAACATCCATTTGGTTAAGGTTCCAGGAAAAAACCAAAATATGTCCAGTAGTGATGATTTCCTTTTAAGACCAACAAGGGGAAAAATAATCATTTCAGCAAATGGAGGGAAACCAGGGTTCTTTGAAAGCGGCGCGGAGAACGGATTTCGTCCATCAGTCTGTGGGCTAGGTCCTCCAGCAGAGAGGTTAGAATAAGGGTACCCACTTTTTTCAGGACGTCTATTTTAGGGGAGCCCTCACCAAAAAGGGGGTTAAGAAGGGCACCTAATTAGCTGGGGGACCCAGTTGGGGGCAGCCCCGTTTGGAGCCCAACCCTTGCTGATCTGGATCGTCCTCCATCTCCTGCGGCACGTCTTGGTGCACCAGGCGCGGCCGCACCATGCCGATGTCGTCCACGTAGGCCTCGTTGCCTCGAAGGGGGAAAAAAAAAACGCCGCTGGCGTCCCCAGGAAAGGGGAGGATAGCCCAAGACTTGGGCCAAGAACCCCAAAAACCTGTGGGGTCGGGGCGGGGGGGGGGGGGGGTGAAAGTTTAAGAGGCCCCAAAACCTCCAAAAACCAAAGACTTGCCCCTTTCCCCATTGCTTTTTCTGCGATGTCCAGAGCATCGAAACGATTTTCGGTTGAGGGAAATGAACCAAAACTCTCCTTCAGGCTCCAGGCCCTCGGAGAACGCCCCAACCCTCCCCCCCAAAAAAAAAAACACAAAAAACTCCCCCCGGCCGCCCCCCTCTGCCCCCCCAACCCCCCGAACGCGCCGGCCAGCGCACAGGCGCTCCCCCGCCCCGATGCGCACGCCTGTGAGATGAAGCCCGAAGAGGGAGCGGTTGGACGCCAAGGCCTCCGCGAAGACGGCGCAGTCCGTGGCGCTGAAGGAGTTGAAGGAGAGGTTCAGGTGGAACAAGGTGTCGCAGTCCTCACCCAAAAAAATCGGATCCCAAAAACACCCAAAGAGCTGACATTTGTTCGGCCAAGAACCCCAAAAAGCGGACTCTCTGACCATTGTTTGGACAGTCCTCGCCACATTTTTCCGGGGCCCAACCCAAAAAAAAGGAAGAAGGACTCTCTGACCATTGTTTGGACAGTTCTCACCAAAATTTTCCGGGGCAAACAAAAGCTGACACCACATTCTTCCGGGGCAAAAACAAAAAGCTGACCCTCTGACCATTGTTTGGACAGTCCTCACCACATCCTTCCGGGGCAAAAAAAAAAAAGCTGACCCTCTGACCATTGTTTGGACAGTCCTCACCACATTTTTCCGGGGCCCAACCAAAAAAAAAGAAGAAGGACTCTCTGACCATTGTTTGGAGCGTGCCTAAAAAACCCAGACCATTGTTTCCGGCCAGAAAAAAGAAACCTCACCCAATTGTTCAGCGCCCAGAAACGCCAAAAAAAACCTGACTCTCTGACAATTTTTCGGCGCGCGCCTAAAATCCCCAGACTGACTTTCTGACAAGCTTGGCGCGCCCAAAACCCGGACTGACTTTGGGCTCTAAAAACCCAGGCTGACTTTTGGGGTCTACCACTTCGACCAAGTGCAGGCGGAAACACCCGTTGTGGCCGATGGGCTTTCGAGGGCTGACGCAGGCAGAGCCCCTTGCCACCTCCTTTTGCCGATCTGCGCCCGTCCCAAACAGGTCCCCCCGGCTCTTTTTACTGGAGCGGCTGAGTTGCTTGGGTTGCCAATTTGTTTTCTGAAAGCGACATGCAACTGCTGGGTCCAAGTTTTGTGTGTCGCAGTCCCGTCAGATGTCGCAAAAGAAATCTCCGCATCCTGAAATCAGGCGCGCCCATTTCTGAAAGATCGCGCCGCGCGTGGGAAACGACCCCGAGCAACATGCTCACGCGAAATGCTGCCTTTCGCATTTGGTTCGGGGATGCCCACATGCCGCTAGAGGGCAAACTCAAGGAAGATATCATTTTAGACTAAAAATGCTATAGCATTCCATCTGGCCCCATACCAAGCAAATGTTTGTCAGTAGCCGCACTTGATGTTGGCCCAAATCTGCATGCAATGCTGGCTCCCCTGAAGGCTGTTGCACACAGACTCGTGGCCGCCAGCATCAGCCCATCGCTTGCGGATGGTGTTGCCGAATTTCTTCCACTCCTTGGCCAAAGCATTCGTGCGCAATTCTGCCCAAAACGTCTCGTCGTCAATGGTCCAAAGCCATGCGAGCAGCTCGTCCTTGGCACCCTTATGCTTCTTCTTCATCAAATGCGCCATGCCTCGATGCGGAATGAAGCGCAAAAACAAGCAGCGCGAAGCTGGCTCCAGCAAAGGACGGCTGCGGCAACATGCGCAAATCGCGGAAGACTTCAGTCACAAGGTGGTGGCGATCGATTGCCGGTTGCCCATACCAACCCTCAAGAAGCTACAGATGGTGGGCTGTCCGACGCCGCAGTTGACCCGTTATCGATCACAAGCGGGTTCTGAACCTGGATGCGCAAAACACGCTGTCCTTTGATGCAAGCGGTCGGAACCCGTCTCTAAAACCCGTTTCTTAATTCGTCCCCTAAAGTCAGGGCCAAACAAGTAGCCTCTGACATCAGGGGTGCTTGCAACTTGGCCGAACCTTCTAGATTCCAGAGTGGGCTCCCTGGCAAAGTGAAAGAACGGTCAGTTTGCTGCTCGTTTACAGCAAATACAGAAAAATCCAAAGGTGACCAAGGCGACCAGTGGAAAAGGGACGCTTTTGTCCAACACTGTGACATCGAGCAGCAACCGGCAGAACAACTGCATATGGAATCCTGGTTTCCAACTAAGGCCTCGAAAAGGCTGTGAGTTAGGGTCTTTGGCAGAAACTTCCTGAAATTGAGGGTTCATCCATCCTAGATGGTCCAGGATCTGGTCCGCCTGGCCTTGACGGGAAACCGAAGGAAACCTATCTATTTCGGTGTTCCCCCTATTTCAAACAAATGCCGTATGACTTCTCTCAAGCGGCGGAGAAGACATTGGCCAGCATCTTCACCGCCTTGGTGCAGTTCACGCAAAGCTCGCACCCGCAGTCTGGAGACACGCAGCCTCAGCCGGCGTGTCAGACGGTCACCCAAGAAGAAGCCGTGAGAAGGGAAAAGGCTACAGCAGTGGAAATGAGGAATGAAAAGGACGTGAAGGGAAAAGGAGAAAGAGATGGAGAAAGCTGTCCACAAAGGACAAGAATTAGAACGAGAATGTACACAGCTTTCCTATTCCTTTCCTATCATCCCCTTTTTCCTTTCGTCTTTCCTCTCGTCTCTGTTCCGAGACCTTGAGTTTAGACAAGCGCGGGTGGGGCGAACCAAGGGAGCAAAAGAAAGGAACAAGAGAAGAGACGAGAGTGAGATAGCCTTTATTATTGTCCCAGCTCTTGGTCTAACCGTTCACTCTTCCTCCTTTCCTCATCTCTTCGTCACTCCGAAAGAACTCCAAGAGCTGATAATGAAGACTGGAATGATACGTGGAGGCACTAATCCTTACCAAGCAATCTTGAAATTAGGAGAGCTATAGAGGTGCTTCCTGGCCTATCATTACCTCATTCTTTCATATCCTTAACAATCCATCCTCCATTTGATAGCATTCTGATGGAGTTATGATGGATTGGCTCGTTCTTTCTCTTCCTCCCATCTTTTCCCTTCGTCTATCCATCCTTCCTTGCCTCCTATCTTTTCCCCATGTATTTTCAAGTACTTTTTGATTGGGAAAAGATAGGTAAGGAATAGACAGAGAGGCGACCCTTCATTCTAAGCTGTACCTCGGTCGCCAGTTCCCTTCCTTTACTATCATCTCATTACCCACTCTTGTCTATCAACAATGGAGAGTGGAGATGATAGGAGGATGAAGACAACGGTAGGAGAGGGAGAAGTTCGGTCATCTACAAATTCCTTGAGGATGTGGAACAAGAATGAGAGAGATGAATAATGTTAGACCTGAAAAGTCACTAGACATCCGTGGATAGTGGGATCTTGCACACTTTCGAAGGTGAGTTTTGCACACACACACACACACACACACAGACACGTGCGCCCACACGCCCACGCGCCCACACGCCAACACGCCACACGCCCACACGCCCACACGCCAACACGCCCACACGCCCACACGCCCACACGCCCACACGCCCACACGCCCACACGCCCACACGCCACACGCCAACACGCCCACACGCCCACACGCCCACACGCCCACACGCCCACACGCCCACACGCCCACACGCCCACACGCCCACACGCCCACACGCCCACACGCCCACACGCCCACACGCCCACACGCCCACACGCCCACACGCCCACACGCCCACGCCCACACGCCCACACGCCCACACGCCCACACGCCCACACGCCCACACACGCCCACACGCCCACACGCCCACACGCCCACACGCCCACACGCCCACACGCCCACACGCCCACACGCCCACACGCCCACACGCCCACACGCCCACACGCCCACGCGCCCACGCGCCCACGCGCCCACGCGCCCACGCGCCCACACCCACACCCACACCCACGCGCCCACGCGCCCACACGCCCACCCACACCCACACGCCCACACGCCCACGCGCCCACACGCCCACACCCACACCCACACCCACGCACGCACGCACGCCCACACGCCCACCCACACCCACACCCACACCCACACCCACACCCACACCCACACCCACACCCACACCCACACCCACACCCACACCCACACCCACGCACGCACGCACGCACGCACCCACACCCACACCAATGTGGACTTGTCCTTGCACGCCATTTTGCCTTAAGCCCATTGAGCCCCCTAGCCAGCACTAAGTCCCAAACGTCACACCCCCAACAGCACCCAGCTGCCGGCAGCTTCCAAGATTCCACTCAGCTTTCAGCCATGAGAACAAATCCCACGCTTGGCATCTGGGTGGTTAAATGTTGGACCCCTCCTGAAATCAAGTAACTACGCACAACTGGAGGGAAACCTCTATTTCAAACAAACGTACATGTTCAAACGGGGAAATCTAGCCTCCAATGGGAACGTTCGGAACCTAATCTAATCGCTCACCCCTTCGGAATCTCCAGCAACTGCTCCACGGAACTCCGCGGAACTGGCAGGGTCAGGGCCGCGGCAAAGCAAAAGGCAAACCAACTGCAACGCAAATCACGCAAAGCACACAAAAACAAACCACAGTACAACAACCAACAACCAATCAATCAATCAACCAACCAACCAACCAACCAACCAACCAACCAACCAACCAACCAACCCAAGCAAGCAAGCAAGCAAGCCAAGCCAAGCCAAGCCAAGCCAAACCAGCAAGCCAGCAAGCCAAGCAAGCCAAGCAAGCCAAGCAAGACAGCAAGCAAGCAAGCAAGCCAAGCCAAGCCAAGCCAAGCCGAACCAGCAAGCCAGCAAGCCAAGCAAGCCAAGCAAGCCAAGCAAGCCAAGCAAGCAAGCAAGCAAGCAAGCAAGCAAGCAAGCAAGCAAGCAGCCAAGCAAGCAAGCAAGCAAGCAAGCAAGCAAGCAAGCAAGCAAGCAAGCAAGCAAGCAAGCAAGCAAGCAAGCAAGCAAGCAAGCAAGCAAGCAAGCAAGCAAGCAAGCAAGCAAGCAAGCAAGCAAGCAAGCAAGCAAGCAAGCAAGCAAGCAAGCAAGCAAGCAAGCAAGCAAGCAAGCAAGCAAGCAAGCAAGCAAGCAAGCAAGCAAGCAAGCAAGCAAGCAAGCAAGCAAGCAAGCAAGCAAGCAAGCAAGCAAGCAAGCAAGCAAGCAAGCAAGCAAGCAAGCAAGCAAGCAAGCAAGCAGCAAGCAAAGCAAGCAAGCAAGCAAGCAAGCAAGCAAGCAAGCAAGCAAGCAAGCAAGCAAGCAAGCAAGCAAGCAAGCAAGCAAGCAAGCAAGCAGCCAAGCAAGCAAAAAAGCAAGCAAGCAAGCAAGCAAGCAAGCAAGCAAGCAAGCAAGCAAGCAAGCAAGCAAGCAAGCAAGCAAGCAAGCAAGCAAGCAACCAAGCAACCAAGCAACCAAGCAACCAAACAAGCAAGCAAGCAAGCAACCAAGCAACCAAGCAACCAAGCAACCAAGCAACCAAGCAACCAAGCAACCAAGCAACCAAGCAACCAAGCAAGCAACCAAGCAACCAAGCAGCCAGCCAAGCAACCAGCCAACCAACCACAGAACCAACCAACGACGGACGAACGATTGCACGAACGAGACAAGCAAGCAAGCAAGCAAGCCGGCCAGCCAGCAAACATGCACAGCTTGCAAGCTTGCTTGCTTTGAAGCACAATTAGCACTAAATATCCACAAGGTCTTCCCTCATTTCGGTGTTTCTTGAGACCAAAAGTACTGGAAAAAACATCACCAGTGCTCCTCCTTCAGGTTTTTCTCCCCTCCTCACTTCACTCCCTGGTTGACGTTGGCGCATCCGACTGGCTCGCGACTGGCTCCGATTTGCGTCCGAGCAACGCACGCCGATGCAATTCCAGGCCAGGTTCAGTCGCCAGAGTTGGCCCTGGCGCAGGCAGTTGTTCTTCAGGCCTCGGATGCGACCGCTGTCCTTCCATTTGCGAATACCTCCCCTGGAAAAAATGAGGACGTGTGTCCAGTAGTGACAGATTCCTTCGAAAAACCAACAAGGAAAAATCAATTCATCATAGTCTTGAGCAAATGGAAGTGTCAGATCCGGTCCGACCTTATCCGAAGATCGGATGGATCGGGGGCTTGCTTCCTGTTGGTTGCGCGTGGCCAAATGCGAAACATGACCTTCCCACCCCCCCCCCACCCCCCCCCCCCCCCACCCCCCCCCCACCCCCCCACTCCCCCACCCCTTTCATGGTGTGAGGGAATCAAACGCAGCCTTGCAAGTTGGGGGGTTCCTTTTATTTTAGTGACAAAGTCAAAAACTGCTCCCAAAACCCCCAAAACCCCGAGAAACCCCGAGAAACCCCGAAAAACCCCAACCCCTCTTTTCTCGTGGTGGCCGTGTCTCTCCGAGAGACCCAGGAAGATGGGCAAGGCATCCGCCGCGTCGATCTTGTTCCAATGCAGGTCTAAGGACTGGAGATTCACCTGAGATCCCCCGGATGGACCTTTGGGATGGAGAACTTCCATTTGGACCCTGAAAAAAAACATCGGAGAAAAGATAGGTCCAGTAGTGATCATCTCCTTTCAAAACCAACGAACAAAAATGGTCTTAAGCAAATGGAAAAAAAAAAACACAACAACAAACGAATGGATTCACCTGGCTGTGGGTCAAAAAGATGTGACCAAACTGGCACCTTGGAAAATGGAACCAACAACGAAAACCTGCGGTTTGCCCTGGCTCTCGTAAACCTGGAGCTCTGTAATTTTGAGCCGCACCCACCTCGATCTATTTGAAGGCGGGTTTATCCCCACCCCACCCCGCCCCGCCCCGCCCGCCCCGCCCCACCCCACCCCGAACCCCCCTGCGTACGTTATTATCGACGACATGCCCAACGTCATGATGATGGTGATGTGATGTGATGTTTCAAGTTGGTCTCCCCAGCCCCCGGGAACCGCCCCTTGGAACCACCCCAGAACCCTCCCGAAACGCTGCCCCAAGCCCCCCCCCCAATGCCAAATCCATGGCTTTTCCCACCAATTAACATGGAACCCGACCAAACGAGGACCCCCCGAACGTCGGGTTCCATGCTAATTGGGAGGGCAAACCTATTTACCCTCTGTTCGCAATGCGTGTAGTTAGTTGGTCACCTATTATGCAGGTTTGTGAGCTTGCTGGGTTGCTTGTTTGCTTGATCCGCAATCCGCTCCAAACACCTCTCTGGTGAAAATCCCTAAACATCGCAAGCAACGGAGAACAGCAAAGAAGGAAGCGCGAGCCCTGTTTTACCAAGGTCCTACTTTTTTGTCCAACCAACCCCCGTTTTGTTCTTTAACCATAACCCCCTGTGTTTTTTCACCCCTGACACCCTCCCCGGGTGCTCAAGGCGTCTGCGGCGTCGAGGCGCTGCGGAGGAGATGAGGCCGCCGAGGGCCTGGCCCAGGCGTCCGCGGCCCAAGGCGTTCTTCGCCAAGTTGAGGCCCCGCAGCGTGCCGCGGCACGCCTCGCAAGTTGCACGGCTGGGTTGCCTTCGAACGACGACCAAATTTTCTGCCAAAAGTTGGCCACTTTTGGGTGGGCCTAGTGGAGAAAACGTCGCCTCGCAACGGAACGGGTTCGGCGCCAAAGGAGCCCGGCGACGGAAGGCGGACGGAGACGGGTTTTTGCGAGCCACTCGAAACCCGAGGGGTGTATCCCACACACACACCTCCCGCAATTTGAGGGGAGATCAAATGCAGCGGGCGAAAAGCGGAAAGCCGAAAAATCCCCCCAAAATCCCCCCAAAATCCCCCCAAAATCCCCCCCCCCCTTAGCCTGGAACCATTTTTGTCACGCCAGGCCCTGGAACCCCCCCTCTTCTCTTGCTGTGCCGACCCTGCAAGCAGCGCTTTTCGCACTTCGTGCATGGAAAACCCCCATCTGCGGCAACCAAAAAGCCAAAGTCCCAGGATCCGTTCCCGCATTAGGGCCGGTGAGTGGGATCAAATGGCGGGAATCGAACAGCCCCACGTATCCGCTCACCTGTTCGCCTTGCTTTTTGCTGCTCCAAACTTATGGCTTCAGCTGGGCCGCGGAAAAGCGAAAAGCCTTTGAGCGAGAACCCAGAAACCCGAACAACAAGCAGGCGATTTGGAGAGGGACCAACACGTCGACATTCCTAGAAACGCTCGGGATCCGTCCGGACTGGCGAGTTGGTTGCGAAACCTTTGGGAGTTGGGAAGCCTCTAGGTTTTGCCTCTGCGACCTTTCTAAAAACCGAGCCCAATCTTTCGGACAGTTCCCTCAGCTCCCTACGTCATTCGTCGGACGAAACGCACTCTGAGCTTTCCCCGAATTCCTGAGTTTACCCTGGGGTCCCTGAGTTCCCGAAGCCTTCCCAGGGATCCGGATGCATTATACACCTGAATCATTGCTTTGTAAATGGTGGTTTCCAACTTTATTTGGGTGTTGAAAAAGGCACCATGTTTCAAATGGCAAGGCAAAATGGAGATCTTTTAAGGAGCCCTGAGTAGCCTGAAGTTCCAAACTCATGCCCCCCGCCTGCCGGAGGGAGTCACAGATCTGGGCCTCCAAGGAGGTTGGGTCCGGTGAGTCCATGTCCCAGGCAACCAAAAAAAACACCAATTTGTGGCTGGTTACTGCAGAAAAACCAAGGGGAAATTACCAATTTGTGGCTGGTTACTCACTTCCGATGGAGTGGAGTGGCCAGCAAAAGTCACCAACCTGCTTATTTGCCCCTAAAATGGTCTTCCCAAAAAGCTTGAAGTCCAGGAACACAGGGAGTGAGACTATTATTCTCCTGACCTCTCCACTGAGAACAATTGATTCTGGGTCCAAAACACCGCGCGGGTGGGAACCACAACCCCCGCTCAGATCTATGAAGACCAAGGGAGGCAAAGAAAGGGGGACAGATGCGTGCCAGCAATGTGGGTGGCTCGTCTGTTTCTTCCGGCTACCCTTTTGTGGGGGTCCCCATTCTCTTTCCGCTTGTCCTTTTGGTTTCCCTTTACAACCACACCCATGTGCACATGTTGAGTCTTCGGTGTTTCACCAGATGGATGTCTCCGAATCATTTGTCCTGTTCACCGGTGCCCAAGCCAATCAAAAAAACAAAAAAACGCCCAGTATTCCGCACTGCGACCGGAAGCTCAGGCATGAAGTTTCACGGAACCATCACAAGCAAAACACACATAGAAGCAACCTCATAAACCACCATTGGCTTAAGCCCCGTGACAAAAATAAACCATACTTCCACTAGTGATCAATTCCTTTTAAAACCAACAAAAGGACAGTTATTCATTTCAGCAAATGGAAGTCAACCAAAAATAATCAACCCATTGACTTGGTTGTAGTTGATCTTTCTGCAAATAGTTAACTTGTTGTGGGTTCAATTCGGAAAACCAAATAATTTCAACCAAATAGCTAAAGTCGAAAGATCCGTTTCCCAATAGCAACCAAGTCTTGCCATCATCACAGTCACCAAGACCCCCCTGCAAGAAACACAAACAACAAACCAACAGGTGGTAGGTTAAAGGGAAACAACCCCAGTTTCTGCATCGATTTCAACAAGTTGAAGTCAAAAAGAATCCGTTGCCCATTAGCAGGCAAGTTGAACAACGGATAATACACCACCAGTCCCAAGAGTTGCCAAATGGATCTTCCAACTCTGAAACTTGGCCGAAGCGCTGCCGCCGGATCACCTCGGGTTCCAAACAAATTCCAAGACGGCGCGGCTTTCGAACACCGAACGTCTCACCGAAAAAAGGAGGAGGATGACTGACACCTCGATCTATGTTGGCCCAAAACCACCCCCAACGAGCCTATGGCACAGACCCCGAAACTTCCAGCTGTTGGGGAAAAACAAAACATAGCAGGGCTGTGGGGAATGACCACTTCTGTGATACAACAGAAAGGGCTTCCCAAAAACGATTTTCTTCATATAAAGGGGGATTCCCTTGTATCACAGAAGTGGTTGGATAAACCCCCTGATCTCACAACCCTGAAACATAGAGTCTTCTTTTGGAGGACAAGCCTGTTCGAGATTCCTCCTGCCTTTGTCAGGTTGGAAAGGCACCTGCCATTACTATTTTTCCAGGGGTTTTAAGCAAATGGCAGCATTTGCATAGTTTCGTTGATTTCCCCAAAGTGGTCCAAAAGAATGAGCTTCACATCTAATATGTGTTGGTTGAAATGACTTCCTGTCAGAAGAACTGGTGGTAAACCTCCTTCTTTTTGGCTTGCTTTACGTACGCCGACACTCCCATTCTCATGAATGGAACATCCCTTTGCTTCCCCCCCCCCCCCCGTTAGTTTTAACGGGAATTGATTTCACTACTGGAAATCTGTTTTTTTGCAGGGGGGCAAAAAAGACAAATGGAAGGAGGGGGGGTGATTTTTGTTTGGGGTCTCCCACTGAGGGATGGATGGCTGATAGTTTGAAGGGGAATGCTCAAGGGTATCATCCCCCCGGAAAAAAAAAAAATAAAAAAAATAAAAAAATAAAATAAAAAAACATAGGTGCAGGTGGGACTCAGCGGCCCCGGAAGCCCCCCGGAACCTTCGGGAACCTGCCGGAACCCTGCTGAGGCATCCACCCAAAACGGAGGCTGTCCGGCCATGCTGAAAAACGGCCTCCTTGGTTCCCTTGTCCCTGAAACCGAAACCATCCAAAACCAAAGGGGGGTTTATAAAACCACCCGTTCTCTAGCTCAACGGTGTAGGTTTCCCCAGCTCCCATGGAGTTCGAAAGTCTCGACAGTGACCTGCATCGCAGGTATGTTTCGCTCAGAATGCATCGCCGCAGTGCGTGCTGAAATGGCTTTGGATTCATCAATGCCCCAATCTGTCTGCACACCAGCTCTGCCACCACCAATGCACCACCAATGCACCAACCACCACCCGAAATGCGAGCCCAATGATGCGCAACAGATGCAACTTGAACCCGACAGTTGTGCCAGTCTCAGATCCTTGAGCAAAGGACCCGACAGTTTTTGCTGTTCGCCCGCGAAAAAACAGGATAGGATCGTATGCCAACTCAGCCCCCCCCCAACTCCCACGCGACTTCGCCGGGGCGCCCAGGGCGTTGTCCGAGACGTCGAAGTGCTTCAGCGGGCACTTCATCGTCTCCAGGAGCTTCGCCAGGGCGTGCCCTGTCGCCGCGCCGCTTTGGACGGAAAAATCAACAACAACACGGCAAGGTGTCTTTTAGCCAGGTGGCCAAGTGAAGGGTGGACGTCTTGAAGGAAAAACAAAGGACGCCACCACAACACACAGGAGACCAAAGGAAAACCAAAAAATTACTCCAGCCTCGACCCCAAACAGCAAAAAAACATGACAGGTCTGTATAACCAAAAAAAGGCTTGTCTCCTTCATGTAAGGTGCGAAATTGAGTAGCTTATGTGAGCAACACATAGATACAATGAGTCCATGTGTGTCCCTGTAGAAACTCCCCTTTTTTGGGAAGGACACATCGGGTCCATCCATCTCCTTGACGCCGGGTAAAAGCATCGATGTTGCTCATCGACTTCGAGGGGCAAATGCCATGTCAATGCCATGTTCGAGAGTGAAGGCCCCGGGGATTCGGGATGAATCAACATAACACCTGGCATTAATCAAAGGAGGTTCTGAAGGAAATTTCGTAGTACGGACACCCAATGCGTTTTTCCATCACCGCAGCATTTGGTGGCCGTCTCGCTACTCTGCTGAAACTTGCGCATCAGTCTCAGCAGCTTGCGGCCGAGACTGGACACATGCCACTTCTGGTTTCTATCTTCTTCTCGAGCTCAGCTAAAGGTCTTGCCACAAGCAAAGCAAGGGAGAACTTGCATAAACTTGCAGACTGCGCCTTGTAGCATTACGGCCGGGACATCCTCGCCTAGCAACGCAAACACACGCCGCGCCAAATTTGCAAGCGTCAGCAAAGGTGCCCGTTTGGCGCGCACCTCTGTCACCCGGCGCAGCTCCAGAAAATCCTCAGTGTTTGCGCCGGCAGTAGCTTGGTCAAAGGGCCTTCATCTCTGTCGTGCCCAGCGCGCCGCATGCTCCCAAGATGGCCAATGCATGGCTTTGCTCCATGCGCCCAACGCCGCTCCATTCTGGAACAAGCTTGGCTTTGAGCATCAGCTCCAGCCCTGCTCCAACTCGGAAACGTGTGAGAACTTTGCCCCAACTTACCAATGCTGGCTGTGGACACCACCAGCTTGGCCGGGTCATCTTGGAGTTGGTGCTTATGGTTCGCAGATTGGTGTTCACATGTGCGGTGAACGACCGGCGGCCGTCATTGCAATGCACGCCGCTGGCAACAACTTCTGGGCCTGGCCGGGTGTGTGAACTGTTTCCAAGTGGTCAAGGTCAGCGAAGTAGGTTGCCAGGAAAAGATTCGTACGCATCAACCAAGTTTTTCAAGGAGAACTCGACAAGCGCACGCACGACGCAAACAATCTCTTACGAGCTAATGGTTTGGCTGGGGACCCGACTCACCCAGGCTTTACTTCCAGGATAATTCTTTCTGGAAAACGCTCAGAAAAAAACCTTGGAGCTCAGAGCTCGGCTGATGCGCCACAAGGATGCAAACTTGCGGCGCTGGCTTCCAAAAAGCAGCTCAGTATCAGCCGTATTCGTCTATTGAAACCAGTCTACATATTTAAGGCTCGACAGGGCTCTGCTGATGCGCCACAAGGATGCAAACCTGCACTTGGCCAAGAAGTGCGGCACTGGCTTCCAAAAAGCAACCAGCCGGATGTCACTATATAATTGTTTTTTATCGAGAAACATAGACATATTAAAGGCTCGACAGGGCCCTGCTGGTGCGCCACAAGGATGCAAACCTGCACTTGGCCAAGAAGTGCGACACCGGCTTCTAAAAAGCAGCTCAGTCCGGATGTCACGACACACTTTGTTTGTTTATCGAGAAAAATAAACACATTTAAGGCTCGACATTGCTTGCTTCTAGCTCCAACGATGCTCCACAAGGATACAAACCTGCGCTTGACCAAGAGAGAGGCACATCCTTTGCACACGGGCTAACAGCAAAATCTGCGACATGCCCTTTCCCCGTTGCGAAGCATTGTTGCAAGTGGTGCTTGCTGACTTGTCGAATCTATGTTTCTAGCTTCATGCTTCTCAATTGCGCTTGCGAGCTGCTGCCACGTGAGCTACTGGATGCCAAGCAAGGTCAGCCTCAACACTGGGTAAGAAGAAACAGGTTCAGCTGGTTTTGCCCGGGACCTTCATTTTTCCTGTCGACGGCTGTAAGCAGGACAACAGCCAGCTGGCAGCAAGCAAGGTCAGCCCCAAAACACGCAAAGAAGAAGCAGCTTCAGCTGGTTTTGCTGTTGAGGGCTGTAAGCACTAAACAAAAGCTGGCAGCAAGCAAGGTCAGCCCCAAAACTCGCAAAGAAAAAGCAGCTTCAGTTGGCTTTGCCCGGGACAACACAGGGAGAGAAGCGAGAGACACGACCCCGGGAGGCAAGCGCAGACACGACCCCGGAGCCGGCGTCACAGCATCTGACTGGGAGCAAGCGAGAGACTGGGAGACACAGGGAGACAAGCGGGAGACACAACCCCGGAGCCGGCGTCACAGCATCTGACTGGGAGCAAGCGAGAGACTGGGAGACACAGGGAGACAAGCGGGAGACACAACCCCGGAGCCGGCGTCACAGCATCTGACTGGGAGAAGACAAGCGAGCCCGGAGCCGGCGTCACAGCATCTGACCGGGAGACACAAAAAGACAAGCGAGAGACTGGGAGACACAGGGAGACAAGCGGGAGACACGACCCCGGAGCCGGCGTCACAGCATCTGGCATCTGACCGGAGAGACTGGGAGACAGGAACACAAGCGGAAAAAATGATCCCGGAGCCGGCGTCACACTTTCCCATTCTCTATACCTCAAGTTAGAACCCCAATGCTTCGCTGTTTGGGGAAAAACACGTTTTTTCTTTTCGCCAGTGCCGCCCACGACTCGATGGAAGGGCGGACATTGTTTGAGGAAAAAACAAAACAAAAACCGGCAAAACAGAAAGGCGACGAAAAGGAAACCAAAGGAAAACAGAAAGGAAAATAGAGGCAACTGAAGGAAACCACAAGAAAGCCAGCCAAATTTCGACCCTCGGAGTTTGGCCATGTATATAACGGCTTGATGGAACACACGCTATACCAAAAACGAGTGGCCTCACCAAGCCAAAGAGCTGCTTCTGATCTCCAGGGCCTGTATTTGGTTGTGTCCGAAGGTGCCGAAAAGAAAAATCGAAATGAAAGTTGATTTGTTCAGCGTTCTCTCTGTGGACACACCCGTTTCAAATAAACCTTTCAAACTGGCAACAACGGGGTGTCGGGATTCGTCTAGAGAAGTCGTGGATCAACCTTCTAAATGTGCGTCGCTTACAAGAGGAAGAAGGCTGTCTTAACCATTTTGCTTGGCTCAGGTTCGAGGCGTTGCCAAGTTCTTCCCTCCTTTCAAGAACCCTTTGCTCAAGATCTTGACAGGGTGTGGTCTAGCTGACTTCCCGTTGCTCGGAAGAAACTCCACATTCACGAAAGACCCTAGCAACACCCCGTTTAAGGCCCCAGCTCATCGCCCACAAAAGCGGCGACCTCTGAACCTCTGAACCTCCCCCCGTTCGGCAACCCTTTTCGCCACCCCAATCGCCCTGAAGCGCAAGCTGCCAACCCCATGTTGCCCCACACAACAATGGCCGTGTCAGGTCATTTTGACGGATTTACAAGCCCCTGTTGATCCTGATTGAGGGGTGTCCCATTCAACAAACAAACTGGATCACTGTTGGAGTTGCACCCTAATGACGCACTTTGCCACACCGGCATCTCTGGCAAGAAAAAAACCATCCGGTGCAAAACGGAGTGAGCGCTTCTGCAAAACGGCCCAACAAACGTAGGTCTCTTTCTATATCCCCTTGCAGCGCGCAACGGCGCAGCCCAAGGAGTTTCCTCCAACATTGACCAGGGGATATATGGCTGGGCTCAAAATTAAATAGGAGGGGTTACGCGGGTTTTGGCCCATGTTTCCACTTACCAGGGTTCCATTTTGGTACCGGTTTTCTGAGCCACAGCCATATGCCTTCTTCCCATCATGGAAGTTCTTTAGGCTTTTAGAAGACCTCTTGTCCTGAAACCCTGAAACGGTCTCACCCACGTGGTTGGACTCAAACACGCGTCAAAACCGCCTTCCGGGTCCGCTCCCGTCTGATGCGCCAGCTGAAAAGCTTTTGACAGTTTTTCCCCAACTGAACCCACGAAATGATACTGACCACAGGATGGGAAGAGAATGAACAAAAAGAGTCGAATCTGTCCCATTCGACTTTCTTAAAGCCAAAGCCCCCGCAGAGTCGTTCTGCAAAATGACCAGTACATTTTGCAGGAATCACAAGTGACCTGAAAACCCTTCCGATGTCCCACACTGCGTCAGGCCGCCAGCTTTTTTGAAGGTACCCCAGACTCTTCTGGCCAAACACTTACCCAACCGACGGACTCAAAGGCCCCCTGAGTGGTTTGGAGTGGTGGGGATTGGAACCCCAGGGTTTGTCCTCAACCAATCCAAACCACCAGTTCGGGGGAAACCAAAGTAGGGAAGTTGAGGAACTTTGGCATGCGGAGAGCGGAGGAATTCTCATACCACGGTCTGCTGTCGGATGTTCTGGTAGATTCTGATGTACCCACGAGAAGCCGGTTCAAGGAAGCCTCCCAACAGATCCAATGCGGATATATACATACATATATACATATATACATAAATGGGTAGCTCCCGCATTCTTGGGCTTAGCCCTTTCCAAATAGCCCCTTTTGCATGAGTGGGGGGGGGTCCCAAAAAAGAAGCAAGACATCCCCTACGCCCAACCCCTTGGCCAAAACCCTCCAAAAAAAAACGCCCACGAGAGAGCGACCGAGCGAGCGGACGGACGGAAGTTCCGTTGGGCGCCTCCGAGATGCCCGAGCCGGTTCTTGGCCAACTGCAGGCTCTCCAGGCGCAGCTGTCGTCGCTGGGAGGCCTGACATCCGGCGGTCAAGGGGCGCTTTGGGCTTTGCCCCCACTGGCGTAGATGGCCCAAAAAAATCAAAACTTTATATTTACCACTAAAATGGTCTTCCCAAAAAGAGGCAAAGTTCATGAACTGAGGAAGCGTGACTCAGCTTCTTCTTTCTTCTTCTTTTTTCCGCCTGATTTCGGGTGCCTTTTGCCGGGGTGGACCCCTGATCTGGTGGAGTTGCCTTGGGTCGTTCCCTGAAAACCCCCAGCACTAAAGCAGGGGAGTTGGTGCTCCCTTAGGAGAGGCACAGGCCCATGAGGGGCCTGGTGGCTCGGAGGTTGGGGAGCTTCAGAGGATCTAAGTAGAACCCGTCCCACAGGGATCCTTACATGAAAAACACCTGAGCATTGCCTTGTAAATGGTGGTTTCCAACTTTGTTTTGGTGTTGAAAAAGCCACATGTTTCAAATGGTTGCAACATGTATCTTTTATGGAGCCCTGCACTATTAGGAGGGAGTTCCCTCCAAAAGCGGTCTGCACCAAAAGAAATTGGACACCCCCCAATCAAAATCAACCAGTTGCGCTTAATCCGGGGTTGAGATTCTCCCAGAAACTAGATCGCCTGGGAGGAATCACCGAGTGGCCCCTAGCCCAAAGCCATGGTCTGACAGCAGACCCTCCAGACCAACAAGAAACTGATGTGGCTGGAGGAAGCTGGCGCTCTGAGTTGCACTAGAAACCTCTACCTGCAAAACCCAAAGCCCCGATTTCTCGGCTCCGGATTAAGGATCCGATCAATCCGATCCGATCAATCCGACCCGATCCTCGGTGTAACCCCAGGTGCGACGTGAAAGCTGCGCCGTTCCGCAAAGCTTTCGGCCACCTATAATTGACAAACAAGAGCACCCCACTGCTCAGCCTTTTTTTTCCACCAGCACCCCCCGACTACTAGTTTCCATGTCCAAGATCCCAAAAACTTGCGGCAACGAAAAATTCCGTTGTTGGGTGCTGGTCCTTGGTGGTTTGGCTTGGTGCTTTGCAAGGGAGGGGAACCTGATGGAACCTGACCCCATCAAATGGCGGTGGCTCCAAAATGCTTGAGACCCTGGCGGTTCTTGCAAGGGAACCAAGCCCCCCGACAAAAAAGGAAGGGCCAACAAGAAAAAACCACCAGCATCGCTGCACTAAACAAATTACACCAGCATGGACCCCAGAGAGCGAAAAACCAGGCCGATGACTGCAAACCACACCGCCCGAAGAGTGTAATAGGGTCCCCAGAGCACCCGGCCGTCAATCTCGCAAAAATGCGCGCCCACCAAAACACCAAACAGCACCTGCGCCAGCACCCCAAACTGCGTGTCCCCCAAAACCCTGCCGCCATATTTGAAAATGTGCCCGCACGTGACCAGCACCTCAATCAGCGCCCCAAGCAGCACCAGCACCACAGACTGCATGCCCCCCAGCACCCAGCCGTCACTCTCGCCAACCACGTTCCCCTCTTTATTAGAAGTTAGACCCCCTCTAGCTTTCAGCTATTTGGGTCAGGTTTTGGTCCATGTTTCCACTTACCAGGGTTCCATTTTGGTACCGGTTTTTTGAGCCACAGCCATTTCCGGGACCAAAACCAGTCTCGCCTCCACCAGGAAGTGAACAAACTTCTCAGTGAGCCGATTCTCCGAGAGGTTGATGACCCTCAAGTCCTCCAATCTCATCCTGACTCCGAGAGCTCTGAGATCCGGAAGCCGAGATTTATTTTTTTGTGACCTCCGCATAAGTGGAGCCATTCTTGATATTGGCTCCCGTGTAGGCCTGCTATTCCAGGACCCTACGTGTTAAAATGCAGCAAATCCTTTGTGTTGAAGTAGGAGATATGGGTATGGCTGTTTGTCCATGTTTCCTCTTACCAGGGTTCCATTGCGGGTACCTATTTTTGACCCACAGCCAAGTGGCTTTCTTAGTGGTTCACATCCCGGGGTTCCTGCTGCCCGAGAAAAAGTGTTTGAGAAGCCCTGGAGATTCTTGCTTTGATGGACCCGGTTCAAGGGCGCTTCATGGGCCAAGGTTTCGCCGGTCAGTTTGGCAAACACATCTACCAGGCACTTGCTCTGTTGCGTCTCTGTTTGTGTCCGTGGCTAAACAAGGGAATGTGTAAAAATCGGGGACTCCCAAAATAGTGATTTGTTTACCATTGGTTTCCCTTCAAACTGAGGTGAAAGGAGTATCCTCAAGAACACAGACCACCGCGATAAGGACCCCAGGGACTGCAAATGGTGCCGCTTTTCAAGAAACTAGGTGTTGGAGAGTACACCCTGGCTCACTGAGGGCACTGAGTGCAGTGCTTCCTGCATTTTGAGGTGGCGCAAGCCAGTCTCATGGTTGTGAAAAACAACCCTGTGTGATACAATACAACTTTGCAGAAAGTGGCCCTGCAAACCCAACCATTTGCCACCTCAGTTGGTTCTGTTTTCATCATGCGCAGAACTCTGGAATTCCAACAACCACAAAGCAAGAATCACTAGATGAAGCCGCTGGTCTCGCGGTCGATTTCGATTTGTCTTGCTCAGACATAGGATTTGATCCCACCCCGTTTAGGGCAATTTGTGAGGGGGCGGTGGATTTCAAATTGATGTCCACTTAAGATTTATACTTGGATCCGAATCATCAAATTCTTGGCCAGTCAGATCCTTCTGCATCCAATGCTAAATTAAGCAGGAGCCAATTCTAAAGTTGATTGACAAAAATACCCAAAAAAAATTTCTCCGAGGCCGACCCCCAGCACCCAAATGAATAAACCACACAAGGACTCGTGGTAAGAAACTCCCCAACTGCCTTCCAAATTTCAGGAGCCAAACAAATAATACAAGTACTACAAGTACTACAAGTACTACAAGTACTACAAGCAGTGCTACAAGCAGTGCTACAAGCAGTACTACAAGTGCTGCAAGCAAGAATACAGCCCCCAAACAAGTATTAACTTGGAACTTCGTCCCGAACCAAAACAAAGAACAACACAGTTGGGGAGGGACACCTTTATTGAAAGGAAGTGGGACACTAGTTGCCGGCCGCTTTCGGGTTGAAGCCCAACCTGGAAGTTTACGATTCGGCATGGGCTTTCGGGGGGTAACGGGGGCCTTTTTCGCTCTGGCCAAGGTTCTGTCGGACAACGGTGCAGGCGTAGTCGTCATCCAGGCTCCAGCCTGCCGTTCACGTCTGCGAGACGTTCTCTCTCCGAGATCCGGGAGAAAATACGGAAACAAAATCCGAAATCCGGAAGACAAAAAACGAAAAGAACAAATAATAATCCGAAATCCGGGAACATTCCCGGATCAGGGACGGTGAAAAATGGCGCTTGAGAGAAATCCAAGGAAGCCCTTGGGTTTGTGCTCGCCACGCTCAAAGCAACCTCAGGCCTAGGCTTGGGAGTTCGCCCTGGGGCCGCTGCAAAGGTTAACTCCTTTCCCCCTAGAATCCTTCAAGTAAAAAGCACGTCGGGGCGGTCAGGTTTTACACTTTGACCGTGCCGCACCTGCCACACAAAATGCAAGCATCAATTTGACCAAATGAACCAGCCAGCATGTTTTGCTACACAGTTCCAAGAGGGCAAATCCGTCCTCCAGAAGAATTGCCCACACTAGAACCCATATGAAACCAGGTTCTACTTTTCTTGGGCGGTGCTCATTATATGACCTTCACTATGTTGAAGGTGCAATACATTTGCGGTCTCTAACCCCTTCCGGTCGCTTTCCGGCGCGCCACAAAATTCCATTTATTTGCCCTACAAAAGGAGAAGATGGATTGCCATAATTATGGGCGAATTGTCATAATTCACCCACCCAACACAAGGGATCCCTATGAATGGTATCGTAGGCTTTCGGTTGCGAGGGGGCCCTAACTGATGGAAGGGGAAATGGCCACACATTTGGAGGTCCTAGTCTTGACGAACACAGTGGGTGTGTCTTTTTCGGAATTAGAGGGGCCCGGTTTCCTTTGGCTCCCTTTTGACCCAATCAAAAAAAGGTCGCCTCCAAAATTGTGCGAGAAGCCCACATACGGCAAATCAGCTTCCCTCTACTTGGTGGTTTGCTGGTTGCGGGGGTGATTTCCCATTTATCCCCCACAAGAACCAGAGGTTTAAATTCGCAAACCACCAATCCAAACCACCAACTAAGGTTCACCTGAGTGAAAGGCCGGCCCCAAGTTCCACAGGCCGTTTCGCGCAGCCAGTTTTTGGGTCCGGCAAAAGCAGCAAGTAGAAAACAACGCGCGGCCAAAACCGGCGCCCACAAGCGCAAGCGCTTCCAGCAGGCTTCCCCTAGGTGTTTTGGTTTAATCAAGAAATCGCTTGGCTGCCGCTGGCCGTGCTAGAGCTTTTGGGTCGACCTTCGCAGCGTTGGGCCCCGGCGGCCTGGACTACCGCCCCGCCTTGGAAATGCAGGTACTCCGTGTCCGGGGCACCTCAGCTCGACTTTTTCGGAAGCCCTGCGGAGCCGATCTTCATGGTGGCTCGTCTGAGGGCACCCCCTGTGTTTGGTCTGTTTTAAAGGAAACCAGAAGGAAACAACTGTGTGTCTTGTTTGGGGGGGTGCTAAAAAACGGCACACCCATATTCGTTGTGTAGCTGTAAGGGGTCCATGACCAGCTTCAATGGTGGCTCGACCGCGGCTCGAAAGTGCGCGGATTCC